TACAGGAGCAGGTGATCTGACACATCAGTAGACTGAAACTCACGTCTGTTGAGGCATTTTAAATTTAAGGTATGATCCCCAACTCTTTTTAAAGTCACCTGCATTCAATTTGGCTTTGATAGAAGGATATGCATGTCAAGAATCTGCAAGAGTTCAAACATGCTCCCATGAGATCTTCTTTCCACTCCACCATCACTTGCCACTCATCAGTTTTGCTGCATTTAAATTAGCTATCACTCTGCCATTATAAAATAAATTCAGTGAATTCAATTTCCCCTTACCTGCCCATCAGGGAAAGCAGAATGATAGTGAACCTTACTTCTTGTTTGTTTACTTGAATTTTTATTTTTACATAAAAACTGTGACATGCAAACACAAATTGTGAGGATTTCCTGAATAATGGTTTCCTTCAGCAAATGTGCAGACATAAAAAGGATTCATTAAATACCCAGGTGGCCAAGATAATGCATAAACAGAAAAGGTAGATTTAAATGCAGTTCAAGAACTTAATAGAGAGTACTCTTGACAGGTGTTTTTTGAAATGTCAGCTGTCCTGGGCGTCAGAATTCAGGACTGTCTGAATTCTAACCAGTCTCAAACATATCCAACAATTCTTCCTTTCATGGCATTCTCAGCAATTTGCAGAAAAACAGTTCGGCAACAAAGGAGGCTGAAAAAAACCTGTTCAGATCTTCCATTCCCTAGCACGTCAAGAGAAGCTGAGCTCCGACTCTTGCTATAAATAAAAAGAAGGCCCTCTTCAAATTAGAGGTCTGAGAGCCCATTACTAGTTCAGATAACTGGCAGACTAACATAAAGAGCCTATTGTCTTGGAGTCATTTCACATCTGTAAGTTTATTCTCTCAGACTTCTGGAGAATAGGACTTGCATCCAAGAAGAGAGCTGTTTGGACCTCACCCACTCCAAGTTGAAATACCATTGATTTTTATTTAAACCTGTAATCTTCTTCAGTGGATTTCCCAGCCCCAAACAGAAAACTCTGTCCAGGTGCAATTTCCATTACTCCTAGTCATGTTGAACCTTTTCCTACTCTCTGACTGGCTGTCCTGATTACATGCAGTAAAGTACAATACTGTGTGAGTAATGACAATATCTATTAACAAGTTATTTTGCACCACCAAGTCATCAGTTATTTTTCCTCTGGAAGTAACTTCCTCTGTTTCAGGCTTTTTGACACATATAAGTACAAGCATGACACAATCATACATCACACTGGTACTCCATTCACCCCCTGGGTTCCTTCTTCTGCTTGGAGTCTGGGTGATATTTTCATTTCCAAGTTTGCTCTGTAAAATGAACTGGTTAACTGATACATGCCAATTTATTAATGATATATTCAGTACCTTACAACAGTCCAATACAGCTTATACAGAAAATTAAACTTGAAGCTCATCCTAGCTTTACAGATAATCATCCTCTGAAAGAAAATGATGAGTTAAAACAGTTTTGAAAATTGGAGCAACAACTGTTTTTTGCCCAAACAATCCTTTTCCCCCTCTGTCACAAATACTGTCTTTCATCAGTTTTCCTTAGGATTGAAAGGCTGGGTCTTAACTGTTCACAGATGTGGAGCAGTGAAGCCGTTTCTAGTCAGATGAATTCTCAAAAATCTTTGTCAAAAAACTGATTATACAATGGCATAAATGGATTAACTCTGGACAGGAAAATACCTTAGTTGTGGCAATGACCTGGTCATCCAACTATTGCTATGGATAAAGCCAGGCAACTCAAACCTAGGGGGTTGCTTAGCTAACAGGAAGCGCATACTGATGCTCATAGTAAGAAAGCTGAACTGGGACAGGGGGTAGGAGGAAATTTTGTATCAACAAAATAGTAACAGTTTCTTATTCAGAGTTTATTGCCATTGAATTTGCACTACTGTTTAATCTGGAATTCACAATGCCTTCCTAAAAACACACCTAAGCTTTAGGGGCAAGACAGTCCTGCCTTTAAATCCCTTCTAGACCACAAACATGTCGATAAGGCTCCCATGACTTCTCTCATCTTGGCTTAGAAGGAAAATAAAGTTTTGGTGAAGAATAATACACTTCCTTCAAAAAGTTGTGTGAGAAAATGCCCTTCTATGATGAAAGGAGGTGTCCAGTGAGATCTCCCATTTGTGTCTTGCCCTATGAGGAAGCAGACTGTCAAATGCTATTATATAATTAGCATTTTATTTCCGTGAAAGTGTTCCATTTTGGCTAGCTCTGCAAGAACAGGTGCCAAATGCTTTCTAACTCTCTTGAATTAAGTGGGATAGCTGTCCCACGTGCCTCGTATCTGCTCCAAACTGGCTTCAAGTAGCTGATGTTTATCATGGGGATGCAAGGCCAAGAGCACAGTTGGTGCATCCAAGGAAGTCACTCCTTGATAGTTCTCTTAGTCAATGCAAGTCATTAACAGGCCTAATTAACAGAAGCAGTCATTATACTTGAATAAGGGAGGAGAACGGCATTATCAAATCTCACTCTCTAGGGTATAAAGCAATCATCTGCAAGATCATGACAAAATTGTGGCAAAATGCTCACAGGAAACACAGAGGTGGGACAGATATCTTTTTTGGTGACAGCAACAGGTGGGGATGACTAGAAACAACGTATGAGAACTAACAATCCATTTTAGCAAGCGCCCTGATTCAGAGATCAGCACTGCAGGAATGAGATAATATCACACTGGGAGCACTGCTCTGCAGCAGTTCAACACTTTTTGACGAGTATCCAAGCTGTACTGCGAGGGCATCAGTTTTATTCCAGAAATTGATCTGACAGAGAGGAGAACAGACATGCTAGATGAAGTAGAATTACAGTTTCTCTGTACCATTCAGTCGTGAACCAAATATCAAGATGTGTTCCCTCCACAACCTATTTCACTGAAGAATCCTGATTGAAGGGAATTTAAATATTAATTTCTAAAGGAAAAGTATGAAACTAGAGAATTCACTACTGAAGGAATAAAGGAGAGAGAGTAACTGATTTCCCTTCTCTCTGTGGGCATATTCAGCTCTTGACAACATTGGCAAGAAGATGGACAACCCATAAACCCCAAACATCTGGGGCAGTCATTAACAGTTTCATTAACATAATCACATGCCAGAAAGTCTTTAGGAACACTAGAAAAGAATACCCATGCTTACCCAGATTTGGGGCATGCTGGGGTGTTGTTCTTTATGAAGGGTAACAGAATACCTACGAATAGACACATTAACTCTTTAATAAGAGAATGAGGATTTCTATGAGGAATAGTATTTGACTCATGGCAAAGGGATGGCTCCTCATCTGAGAGACAACCACACCTTTGCATATGTAACCTGGGCAAGACCTTTGGTCCTTTTACTAGTAGTAGTTTATCATTTCTCTGGGGATTGGCACACAATGCTAAATGAGACATTCTTTCACCTAATCAGCTACAGAGAATAGAATGAACAGAAAACTGAAAGTTCAAGAATGAAACGACAACTTAAGTCAGCATAAAGGAACTCTGTGTCACCAAGGGTTGCCAATATACCAAAACACCAGCAAGTTCAGTTACAACTACTCTTTCTGTTTGTTTATTAACTAGAATGCCAGATTTTCATCACAAGGCATAAAAGCCTCCCTTCTTGATCCCACTCTATCCAGTGAGAATAAAACAAGCAGCCACTTGCAAAATACTGGCGCATATGAAGTGAAAAGGCGCGGAAAACATTCTGCTCCCTTCCTGGTCTCGGGGTAAGACAGTTGTGCCATGAAGATTAGTAATAGTTAGATCAGTTAGACCTCCCCAAAAAGGAGGAGGGAATGGGAAGAAATGCTGCATCCCGGTCTTCTGAGAGGCCGTCAGAGCTGCAAGGCACTTCTTATGCAGGGCAGACAGTAAATCTATCATACATAGCTGGGCTTGTCAGATTCAATCAGAATTGGCACTTCCACCATCTATTAAAGCCAGGACCAGAGCTCCTGCAGTGAGCTCATCTTTTCATATTGTTTCTTCTTCCACTCTTCTTCCACAATAACAGCGTTTTTCTTACTGCGTAACTGATGTAAAGGGTCTGAGGGGAAGACAAATCTGTAACAGATCCTGGCTGTGTCTTTCCGATCTCACTTTCATTTCCCTAATGGCTGTATTGTAATTAGATTTGCAAAAACAGCAAAAGGTCTCATTTTGAATGGCAACAGCTGTTGACATCAAGATTACATTGAATAATTTACTGGTTTAATTTTAGCTGCTAAACAATAAAAGCTTCTTGTTGAAGATTATTTCACTAGCTGAATTTTTCTTTTTTTTTCCCCTGGCTGCCTCTTGGTTTCTTTGTATGCTGGACACTACCAACCATCTCATTGAAAGAGATTTTAACTTACATAGCCCATGCAAAACAATAGCTTTCTATGTGACTACTATTATTTTGTTGCAAAGATTCTTAATTCTAGCTCAGATACATTGGCTGTGTATTTCCAAACCTAACAACTGATTTTGGGCATCTAGACAGGACTTGAGAAATTGCTCAGGCTCCGACTCCTGTACAGTCTGATTTCAGACAAACCCTTTGCATCAGTTCCCATACAAAAAACAGGGCAATAACACTTTTGACTCATGGTAGCGCTGCCGGGTTTGTTCATCAATACCAAGGAGCAGAGATGAAAATTCTGTCAACAAGGGAATACTAAAAATACAGTAATTGTACAGGCCTACACTTACGTAAGTGCCAATGGCAGCATTTGCTACAAACCAGTACTAGCTGGAAGGAAAGCTAAGAGCACTGCTGTGAAAAGTTGTTTCCTATGGTTTTCAAAAGGGGTGTAAGCTTTTTTTCTGATAAGCTGCTGGACAGTCATGACTGGAACCTGAATGTCATGAGACCTGGAAATCAAACGTTACATTACTGCTGCACAAACTCTGTTTCCAGGAATGGGACAAGTGCTTTACCAAGCCAAACTGGATCTAAATAATGATGTGCTACAAACAGTAAATAGCATGGCTCACTTCACAGAATTTGCACTTACCCTTGGGTGCAGTTTGGATGACATGGATGGCACTCACGATCCTCATCAGCATATTTGAAAATGAAGCTGTTGGCCCCCTGTAAGCCATCAGGACATTTTTCCACACAGTTCGGACCATCCTTAAAATGGAAACACTTCGTGCAGTGGTCAGGTCCCTGGAGAGCATGGAATAAAGAAATGCAGTTCATTCAAGTTATTCTGTGTTTTCTTGCTGTGCTAGAATTGCAGGTCCTAGCATGACAGCGCACTCAGCAATAACTGTAGTAGCATTTCTTTCCCAACAGTGAGTTAGCTGCGTGGTTCCAGTCTCTGTTAGAGCAGCATGCATGTAAATACTGGTGCTTTGGGCCATAAACTTATTTTGTAGATTGTTAAGACTAAATTCCAGCTTTTAAACAGGTTTCTCAATATTATTGTTGTGCTTAACAGAGGGCTTCATGCCCACCTGAGAAATTTCCTGCCACACTGTTCAATACTGAACCATATTTAAAAAACAACTCCAGTGGCCCTTCAGTGGGATCCCTCTACCTCTACACTCCAGAATTACTTTGTACATTGTGTTCTTCCTATGGTCTCTGGCCACAACAATGCTGAAGACCTACAAGGTCTGCTTCTTCTTAATACATATGTAGACTAGACTGTTAAGAACTATAAACCAAGGGTCCTGGACAATGCAAAAGTAAAATTTTAAAGCTGTGATGATAAGCCAGTGTATAACCAAATCTGATGTTCAGGCTGGTCACTGGTCTAGGATTTTATGTCCATGAGCCCTGCTACAAATCCAAATTTCCCTCATGAGTTGAACACTTGAAACATAGCTTTTTGCTTTATGGTTGTGTTGCATAAAACACAGTATTGCAGCAAAAATGACGAAGAGAATGATTGTCAGTGTAATGCCTTTTTTTCCATTCAGTAGGTAAGTCACATAAATAAGGAACTAAGTTATGAGTTAAATTTTCTCAGTGATGAAGAGCCTAAAATACAACTCCTCATTGCCCAGGATACTTGTGACTTTTAATTCTGGCAATATACAAAAGACCAAAAGAAAGAGACAACTTCTATCTCGCACAAGAGCACTAATCTTTGAAAGAAGACTCACTGGCCATTATAAAGGTGACAGCCACAGTTAACATTAATTTAGGATGCACAAAAAAAATTCTCTATCAAAAAAACTTAAAAGGCTAATCTAAGTAAATAAACCCAAACAACATATTGTTCAAACTCACCAAGATTGAGACAAATTACTACACTTTTTTTGTGAAAAATTAAAAAAGAAGTAACTGAAGTTGTAGTACAGCAGGACAGAACTGAGTATAAAGAATGAAAATAGTGATAAAAAAGGGCACTCAAATCACAACTGAATGCTATCTGTCATTTAAAAAACTTTGTGCATCTGTACCACTAAGGCATGAAGACAGGTCAGGAAAGGACACTACTTCTTAAACCATTTTCTTAAGGAGGCTGATCAAAGGAAGTTTATTCCCAGCACCAATTTAACACAAGCAGAATTCTTTCCC